TGTCTGAAGACATGCAGGAGCTTCCTCACCAGCATGCAACCTCTCAATGCTACACCCAAGGTGTCACAACTACAGATGTAGAATAAGAAGCTGAAGAACATACTTGACAGCAAAAAATTGACATTCCAGTAGCTTAGTCCTTACTACCAGGGGCTGATGAACCATGGCAAAGGTTGGGGATGTCTCAACCACCTATGTACCAGAGATGGACACTTCAAGGAACTAATGAAGAAGTGGGGCTATACCATTGGTTCAACCACCTTCATTCAAAAATGTTTTTGCAAAACTCTAGTTGGTCTAATAAAAGATATCACCTCTACCACAAGTTCTGATTCCTAAAGGTGAATGAGTAACCCATTGCTTCTATACCCCAGCCCCTCTTCCACAGCTTTACAAAGATAATAGCATTGCAGTAGCAACTTTAACTATAAAGTTGTATTCTACTTTACAGTTCTGACTTGCTCCTGAATCTGCAAATTCCTGAAACAAATATCTCTTTAGATCTAAATGTGGCATTTGTGGTTTCTAGCAAGGGTTGATTACAAAGCGGTATTGGATCAGTGAAGGTATTTCAAATATCCCTTTACTTTCTCTTCTACCTAATGTCTTGTTTCTTTAGAATATACAATTCATTTTGGCATAAGCCCCCTCCCGCTCCCCCCAAAAAATCTAAAACCATCTTAACTACAAATCTTTCATTTGTGTTTTTTCTAGGGTCCTAGATTATATCTAGTGCTCATGACCTTTTTCATTAATAGGGGGAAATATATTACCTTCAGTATTTTTTAGTCTTCAAGCAGTCAATAACTTAATAAACTTCAAAATGTAATAAAGCCTGTTGGAAGGCTTCCTTTTTTTAAATTTCTGTCCCATACTTTGCCCTGACACTCAGCTAACCTTGTGAAGGGCCATACTCATAATATTTTTTCCTTTAAAAAATTGCATGACACTCAAATTTTCTACTTCGTTGAACTTCCTTTGTTAGCCATCAAACTGTTAAATTGCATACTTCCCCAGAAGCTTATCCTTGCAATTCTCCCCTATACTTTTGTCTATATTGTATCCCAGAGCTGGCATCCTTGCTTTAGTCACACCTTGCTTTTGCTCTTGGAGACCCTCCCTTCCCCCATAGGAATTTTATATGCTGAGTAACTAGGATTCTCTTTTATATCTGTAGTCAGAATTTCTGGTAAAAGAAAATGGGACCTGTACTCACCTGTGCCTAGAGACACCTACTCTCCAGCATTTCTGCCTTCTTTTTAATTTTCTTCAGTTTGGCTTATTTTCTTCATATTGCACTTTTGACTGGCTTTGTGAGCTGCCCTTGATATTCAGTGATGGCATTTTCAGATGATTTGAATTTGCTTTCTAAGTCCTGCTCTTTCATTTCTCCTGTTACATTTTATAGAAATTCCCTCCTTTTTTTCTTCCCAAAGGAGACAGTAAGGCAAGGAATGATACATTCAGAGTTCAGCCCTTCTGGCTTTCCTTGAATAAAATGGCAAAGTATCAATAGGGGTAGTGAAAGGCTCTATGCTTGAAGAATTCTTCATGATCATTTTCCTGTTTACCTTTATTGGGCACATTTGCCGTCTCCAGTTCAGTCTTGGGAGGCAGGGTTGCAGCAATTGTTTCCCTTGCTTTATATCAAGACAGCATTTAACCTGCTCTTAAAAACTTCCATGGTTTGATATGCCAAACCTGTTCTAGGTAATCTTTTCCAATGCTTAACCACCCTCATCATTGGGAAGTTCTTCCTAATATTCAATTTGGATATGCCATGTTGCAGTTTAAGCCAGTTATTTCCTGTCCCTTGCTACAGAGAATAGTCTATCACCATCTTCTTTATAGCAACCATTTTTGTATTTGAAAAGTGTTATCAAATCCCTCCAGTCTTTTCTTCTCCAGACTAAATAATCCCAGTGCACTGGATCTTGTTCTGTTGTTCTTGCTTTAACATGCAGTGGTCTGGTGTTTAGTCTGATCCTAGTGCCATATTCACCTTGTGAGTTAAAGTACACGCAAAGGAATGGAACTTTGAAGCACTGATTGGTGAATCCACATATTTGATTTGGAAAATTGATGCAGATGCCTAAAGAGATTGGGACCCAGTAGTATAAAAATGAAATACTGAATGTAGAATTTAAGATTTAAAGGCATCTTTAAAGATTTGACCTGACTTTCCTGCTGGACTTAGTGAGGTACAGCAAGGGAAGAGAGATGCATTGGCCTTCAAAAAGCATCTATGAATATAAAGCTGAATGTTGAACAGCTGCACTCCAGGCAACAGCACTTTGCCACAGGTTGTTTCTGCCGTGCAGTTTTTTTCTCATCTCTGAAAGTTCTATAAATAGTTATTTCTCATCTTTGATCAGGAAATCTCTTGCTGGTTTGTGAGAATTTGAGTGCAAAAATAGCTTTCTAACTTTCCTTGTAAGTTAACAGAGTACTTTAAAAGGCAGTCTCTGGCTACAGAAAAAGGAAACGTAACTGCTTTAAGGGAGATGGGGAATCTTCCCTGTGGAGTGTGTATCTGCTGCCACACTAGGTTTTAACTCAGCAGATTCATGCGTTGCTATAATTGAGATGAAGCACTGTACATGTAACCCTGAATAAAACTGTGTTGAAGTTTCCAAGGCTCTGCCACATTTGTATTGCTAAAGGACCATGAGAATGTAATACCTGCATTATAAAATCAGTGATGAATTGCAGGTTGTCTTAATTCCATAGGGGTTTTTCCGAATTGACGTGGTGGTTCAATGCATGTGCGTGTCCCACATGCGTCTGTGGGGGGGGGGGGGGGGGGGGGGAGGAGGAGTGGTATTATGGTTCACCTTTAAACCATTCTGAAGGCACTTGAAACAGTAGAGTCCACACATTAGAGTGCTAAACTGTTTAAAGTACTCTCTAAGCATCTTAAAGTTACACCACTTTGGGTGAGGGTTATCTTTGAGCCATTTTACCCAACTAGGGTTAGGGTTTTGTTAGTCCGCTCCACAGAGGTATAGTGACCAATTTGCAGTTATCCAGCATCCCAAGATCCATGGCTCCCAGCCTCTCTACTCCTGACAAACTTCCCACCCTCTGAAAGTGCCCAGAGGGCAGTACTGGCCCCAAGCCTCCACCCCTACCTACCCTGAGTGGATGACCCCTGCCCTGATGGCACCATGTTGCCAGGTGCAAGAACCCCAGGAGACCCAACCTAAGCCCTCCCCTAGCCAGGAGAATTGGGTTGGGTGCTGTGGCTTCCCTACCTAGCCTGACCTCCCCTCCCTAGCCTGTCTCTTTCTGGGGAGGGGTTGGAAGAGGAGGGTGCTGCCTAGTACCAAGTGTGGCAAGACCATGGAGCCCAGGGAGGCATACTTCCCTAGGGTCCATGCTGTCTCTGTGGTTAACCCCTGGCTGCTCCATTCTGGGAGCAGAGCCATGGGTGGTGGGGGGTGTTCCCCAGGCTCTTGCCATGATTAAATCATGACAGCTTTACTCCCATCATGGTGTCACCACAGATAACTCCAAGTGGCTCCACACTAAGAACGGGGGCTAACTGCATCAAGGGCATGGAGCCTGGGGAAGCATGCCTCCCCAGGGCCCACCTCCCTCCTCACCCTGTACCAGACAATGAAGGCTCAAGGGATAGATTCCCCTTCCCCCCAGCTAGATAGATTCTTCACCCCTCTCCCACCAACCTTCCTGGCTGGTGGGGGAGGCATTTAGGACTAATTTGGTAAGGCTCCTTGCAAGCATGTGGCATGGAGCCAGTCACCTGAGCTTGACTCAGGAATCACCAACCACACCCTCCCCCCCCCCAAGTTGGGACAGGACTCAGGTGGGGCAAGGAGGGCAGAGCTGTGTTCAATTGAATATTTCTGTGCCATCTGCCAGGTGCATGGGGAGCTGGGCATGGGCAGCCTCATGCTGAGATGGGTTCAGGGGAGTCGAGATGAGCTTGATCAGGGCACCATGGAGATGTCTCTGTGCTCCCCAAGTCTCCCCTTCCCTACCACTACTGCACCCTGCAGTTTCCCCACCCCCAGGCTGGGCAGGCCAGCCAGGGCCTAGGTTGGAACATTGGAACTGGGGGTAAGCCACTGGCCCTCTTAAGCCATGTGAGCAACGCTGGCTTGCCAGGCCTCCACCTATCCCTATACTGGCCAGGATGGGAGGGAGTAGCTAGGGCCCTTGTCAACTCCCCATTTCAGCCAGCACAACCCCTGCTGCTCCTAACTCAGTCTCCCCTCCAACCCAATCCCAATTCGTTAACACACATACAAGTTTTTGGTTTATTTATTTATCTATTTGTTTATTTTTATCTTTTTTGTTATTCTGTTATTCTTTACTTCTTCCATTTCCCCCACCCCCTCCCCACACTAAAGTTTATCAGAAGATATTTCCCCTCCCACCCACGACTCTGGCTCTGGGAGAGGGAGTGCTGCATTGTCTTCTTCCTGGCTATATGATCCTGATGTGCCACCTTCCCTCCCCCCCCGCCCCATCTCCTTTCGCACCCCAGAGGAGGGATAGAGTCCTGGCTCCTGCCCATGTCCCTGCTCAGCAGGCCCTCTAGTGGCATGTCTCAGGTCAGAAACAGCATTAAGCCTTAACCTGCAGCTGCTCTGTAACTTTTTAACACTGCCTAATATTCCACAGATTTAGAATGGTTTTAAAGGTAACCTGTAGCAGCATGGAGACCTGAGATTTAAGATTCATTGCAAATGAAAATCTATCTTGCAGACTCTTGGGAGGTAGAGATGGTCTTACCATATTATCTAGTCCATTTCTTGTGTGTATGCTCTTATCTTACTGACTCTCAATTTTAGTATTGTATATAAGTTTCTTTAACAAAAGGAAAAGCAACAGACGAGAAGTAGGACCATGAGTAGAGCCTGCTGTTTAACAATGCCCTTTGTCAGCACATGTTGGTGTAATCTGATGCAGTGCTGCTGCTGCTTCTTTTACCATGAGCAAGTATTTTACCTAAGTGTCCGTTTTTGCTTTTCCAGGAGTTCTTCAGAAAGCTATCGCATGCCAGTGATGGAATACAAAATGAACGAGGGGGTTCCATATGAATTCAAATTCCCCTTCAGAAATAACAACAAATGGCAACGAAATGCAAACAAGGGGCAGGGATCTCACATGTCACAGGTACCATCCCAGATGCAGAGTCCAGTAATCTCAAGGATTGGGTCAGGGAAAGGAGAAGGGAAAATGCCTCCTCCAGAACGATCAGCCAACATTCCTCGCAGCATCTCTAGTGATGGGCGTCCATTGGAAAGCCGAAGGTATGTATGATCTATGTATGTTAGGTCTCCAAACTTTAAATCTTATCAGAAACAAAACCACATTAGACATTTTAGGCATACCAAATATTTTACTTGTCTGAATCTCACTGCTAATTAAAAAATAAAAATATAGAAGCCAAAAGTGAGTAATTCACACAGGACAATTGTCCACAAGATAGGTTGTTACTGCCTTGCACAAAATGTATTTCACTATGGCAGATGGTATATTGAAATTGTTATACAACTACCTAAGTTTACTGCTCATATTCCAATTAAACGCGTATTGTAATTAAAATAAAATTAAAATTCTTGATCCAAACATTCCTGAAATTTTTGCATTGACAATTTGTGCATTCCTGTTTGTATTTTATGTGCAGGCAAGTATGGAAGTCACAAAGATGTTGACACAAGAATAGCATGTGGTAATATATTTAGTTAATGCATATGATGATATAGCAAAGTGATGAAGCCAAATATGTTTCCATGACTGGGAAGTGATTATGCTTTTAGAGGTAGAGAGTAAACAGTTTTAAAGTCTGCATTTTTCAAGCTCCTGCTTTAGAAACGAAGCACCAATTCATTCTGAGTTGATGGTATCAGCCACAAAATGTCACAATATTTCCATCACTTTAAAAAAGGGAGATGTGGATGATAGTGCTGAAATGTAGTTTCTTTGTTTTGATTGTCTGAATAAATCTCTTAGCATCACTTAGCTTTCAAAGAGATGAGCAAAGGGAAACAAGCTAGTACAATAGCCTTTGTTTTGCATAGCCTCTGTTTTACATACAAGACAGCTTGTATCTGAAAATACCTTATAGACTTGAAAGCTACTAGGCATTGAACAATATATGACATAAATTGTAGAAAACTAAAGGAAGATATAGTGTGGTAAATTCATTTTCTAAAGCATTTGTTCGTATAGTTGAAAACTGAAGGAGGGAAGATGTTAGATCTTATAGCTGAGAGTAACGCTATTACAGTGAGACAGAAAACTCAATCATAGCTCAACTATTAGCAAGCGAGGAGGAAGCTAAGGAGTTCCAGACTATTTTTTCATTGTTTTTTCATCCACAAGAATTTTTATTATATTTACACACGCTTAAACACCAAAATTAAACATGTATTTTTGGTGAATTATATAAAACCCATTTTGTGTCTCACGAGCAAAACTTACATTTGGGTGCTTTAGGAAAGAACACACTTGTAATGCTATTGATTCTGTGGTAGCACCAGTATTTTTATCAATGTACCATTTAAATTACATTAACGTAAAATAAAAAGACCAAGGTCACTTGAGTCTGCTAAATTGGTGCTAGAATTGATGGGAGGTTTTTTTCTAAAATTCTCTGCTGCAGAGAAGATGCTAGAGGCCAGTGGACATCTAAAATAAAGTTAGCTTACCTCTGAGCATCCTGTCTGAATCAAAGTATATGTTGAGCCATGTAGGCTCTACAAGATATATTTCCTGATCAATCTTGGAGAGCCTGAAGATGTATTTTAAAAACGACACAGGTTGATTTTTTTTTATGTATGCAGTATTTCTTTTGTACAGTAGGATCTCATACTGTTTCATCATAGGTATAGCAGCAGAACAAGGTGTTTGGGAGTGTGGAAAAATTATCATTCACTTTTTCATGAATTTATTTCTTCTTATGGCATCTCCAAAACAGCTGTGTCTCAGATTTGATTTAATGTGTTGGTCCTGCTGGATGGGGGTTCTTCTTCACTCATCTTTGATGTGTGGAATTATATAAATATTACTGGTATTTTCCTAACAAATAAAAATTTGTGCAGCTAATGTAAGCATTAAAGCATTCAAACATCTAGTCATTGGATGTTGTCAATAAAAGAGCATAGGCGAATGGACACTTTGCAGAGTGGAAATTGTACCTCTGTGCCACTCTGTTTTGTTTTTTAATAAATGAAACCATGTGACTTTGTTTCAAAAGTGTTTCACCTCATCTCTCCCCCCACTTTCTTCACTTTTAAAAAGCATTTAAAGACTTTTTTCCCCAAAAGGTTTATATTGTGTCTATCCAGATTTAATTATAAGTTATCAAGGATATTTTGCTGAAAATATATGTCTGTTTGTCTGCCTCCCCCTCTAGTCTGCTAAAGATGTTAATCTAGTGGGCTGAATCCAGTTTTATATATAGCTACAGCTGTTTAATGTTCAGTTGTTTCCAGCTAAAATAAAGAAAAAAATACTTGCTTGAAGTTCAAGGAAAGATTAGTGAGCTCAGATAGTGGCTTTTTTCCTTCTCTTGCAAAATTGTATATAATGCTTTGTGTTTTTACTAAATAAATCCCAAGTGCTTAATTGCTTTTATTTTTATTGTGTAGCTGTCCTAAAATCAACAGAGATGAGATTTTGTTCTGTTTTGTTTTAAGTCAATAAAGAATTATTTTCTGCTTTGGATTTTCATCAGTAGTTTTCATACCTTCAAAAGCACAAAGTTTATACATGGATCATGCCAAGGACATTTTGTACGTTCCAGGCTGATAACTTGCACTTTTTCTAGTGTGAGCTGGAGCAACTATACTCCAGCTCTTTTTGTTGCATGTAACTTGCATGAATCTTGATATAGCATTGCTAGATGATTTAAAACAGGGGAGATCCTGGAGTTCCATTTCACAGGAGTGTAAGATGGCAAAGAAAAGCAGCACTTAACTGAAACATAAAACTGATTCATCTAGTTTTTCCTCTGTGAAGTTAGATGGGAGATTTAGTTGTGTGGAAATCTAGATAGAGTTGAGGAAAATGCTCTTACTCACTGGTGATATTTGTGGCTGATGGGAGCCTGCTTTGATTTAGAGTCTTTATCAGTTATGCCTGTAGAAAAGTGTCTTCTTCCTGCTATTAACTTCTTGCTCTGAAGTACCAGGGGGTTAATATACAGTATAGTCTTTATATACTGGTTGCATGCCTGAAGATTTTTGTCTCGTTTTATAATAAATGAAGAAAAGATCCAGCATCAGAAGTCTTTTGACACAAAAACCATGCTTTGCACAATGTATACTTACAACCCACTGTATGTGATTCAAACAGTAATTATGAACAAGTCATTAATGCACTAAAAGAATATCCCTTTTTTTTTTAAACGTGGCACTTCATTATCTCCTTTTCTTTGTCAAATGTTTACATTCTGAACCAGTAACATTACACTTTCATTTAGAAAGAAATGCACAGAATAATTTGTGTGGTTTAAATTTGAATTTTACTCTAGGCTGTATAATTACTGAGCTTGGACATTGCCAAGAAACAAATGTTAATTGGGTTTCCTACAAAAATGCCACATGATCGTTAAGGACAAAGGGCTTGTCTGTACTTCAGAGTTGTGTTGATTTAACTGTGCCAGCAAGTTAGATCTGTAAACCCCACCTACTTTAAACACATTTTACCAGTTAGAAAGTGCTTATATTAGTTTAACTTACTCCATTTCAGAAACTGAATAGTATTTTTAAAAATACTGCAGGTCACCATAATACTGGTATAACTTCACTTATGCTAGACTTGTGCTAGCTTATGCCACTAAAAATCACCTCTGTACCTGATACAGCTGTACCAGAAATTTTAAAAAAAATGTAGACCAATCCAAAAGCAATTGAGAGTTTCAGTTCTATATAGCAGGTACAAATGGCAGCTTCCAGCATTATAGTCTCTCTTACTCTCTGCTTTAATACTGATTCATTAAAGAGGAGTTACCACCTACAAAGGATTAATACTACCTCTTGAATCATTTTGTATTTTTTTTAAATTTTTCATTCAAATGCTGGCGTGGTTCAAAACTGCTTCACTTACTGAAATTAAAATTGATCATCGTCAGACTGGATAATAGTGTTGAAGGATTAGGATTATAGTTCTATGCTCCTTTAGGGCATACTTCAGACATGGGTAGATGATCCTGTGCCCATACTGCAGGCATTAAGGGTAGTGATAGACGTCACACACAAACTGGTTTAAGTGATCAGAAACTGGTTTAAACCTGTAACAGAACAGACGTTCAGTGCACATAAACCAGCTTGAAAATGGCTGAAATCGGTTTGAATGCAGTATCAGACTTGACTGATTTGGGTCAAACCAGTTTATGTAATGTCACCTGGTTTAATTTAAACCAGAGTCCCTCAGCATCCCAGATGTTTGCAGCCTTGGGCGGGGGCTCTCTGCTCCGGAGATTTGGACTGGCCCCTCCCCTCTGCACCCTGGCTGGAGCGCCAACAGAGACGGCAGGCACAGCAGTGTCTACCTCGCTTACTTCTGCTTCCTACTCCCTGCATAAGCAGGGATTCCCCCATCCCCTCTCCCAGGGCAGGAACTGTAGCCAGCATGTGGTATGCTGGCTAATGCTGAGAGGTGTCTGTGTAAGGCAGATAAGTCAAAGGCAGACAGGACAGTGTCCGCTTAGGGCTTTTTGGGGGGCATAGGACAGAAGCACAGCTGGCAGAGCCAGCACTACACGGGGCTTTTCTTGCTGGGGACTGGGCTCAGAATGGGCTCCAGAGGCCCTGGAAGGAGGCTGCAGCCACCCCAAATTTTGCCACCACTCCGTTCCCAGGGCTGCATCACTGCCCAGCGCAGCCCCATTTTTTCCCAGTGCTTGGATGGAGACATGGCATTCAGCCAGGCCTGCACTAAATGGCAGGTGGTGGCACAGGGCTGGGAACTGAGCGGCAGCAAAATTTGGGGTGGCTGCAACCTCCTCCAGCACTGCCAGAGCCCTCTCTGAACCCAGCCCCCAGCAAGAAGTGCCCCACGCAACTCTGGCTTCACCTTGCAGCTGCCGCCCACCCCATACTTTGCAGACTGGGGGCATATGCCATCCCTGCCCTGGTTGGCAGCCCCTGCCTCTGCCCCCCCTCACTGCAGGGGGCATTGATCTGTCCTCCCATGCCCCTTCCCTCCCCCCTTCACTTCCAACTTACCAGCTGGAGGCAGCTCTCCACGCTGCCGGCTCTGCTCCATGCTGCACTGTGGCTGCACACAGCACAGGCATTTATCT